ACAGAAAGGAAGGAAAGTCGAAAAAGGGAAAGAGTGCATCGAGAAGAGTGACCTTCCTTTCAAGTGTACGAATCTATGCATCGAGCTTGTCCTGCCTCTTACATCGATCGAAGAATACCAAGCAAATGAATCGAGATTACCAAATACTCATCCAAGTCATTCTTTCATGATTAGTTAGGACGTATATGGCTTTTGATTTTAGTTGCAGCAGAGTAAAGATCGTAGCCTCAACTTGTTTTGGTCTTCATTTTAGAAATAGGAGTTCCACTACGTGCCCGTGTTCTTTTTTTTAAAAAAACAATAAATTGCCTAAAAATCTAGAAAATTATGATTTTTTTAAAAAATAAAAATAAAATAAATAAAATAAACAACTAAAGAAGTACAAAGATAAATTAGCACAATTCCTCGGGAACGGCGCCAAAATTTGATGTGTACTGTTGCAGGCACCCAATTGTAATCTTTTAACCTCTAAAATTAATGTAGTAGTGAAAGTAAGGGTCGATCCCATGAAAAGTGTGCAATTCAATGTTTTATGCTTCGTACAATGATTTGGAGGGGTTTTGTTTGCAAACAATTGTAAATAACCTAATCAATAACAATGAAAATTAAATTAAAGAAAACAATCAAAAGACTAACCTCGGTTTAAATCCATATCTACCGTCAGAAATCCACGATTGATCATAGATGCAATGGAATTGATTCCTATTTCTCCTTAATTTTAGTTAGTTAGAAATCAACATTCTAATTTACCCTAATTATTAAATAACCCCAGACCAGCGCTCAAAATTCAATTTAATAATAGATTTACACAATAGAGAAATCGATGAACTAGCTAACACAAACACTAGCGGTTGGATTCAATCTATTGAAAAATTCTTCTTAAGATTCAATAAGCTCTATCGCAAAAAATCATCAAATCCTAGTGCTTCACAAGTTAAAGGGATCAAACAATTACGTATTTGATATTTAACTTAGCGGTAGATTGTAACAAATAACAAACTTTAGGCCTCATAGTAATTAAACATAATAATCATGAAATAAGTGCAGAAGAATATTCAATACGCAAAATAAGAATTAAACAATAAGAAAAACTATTTAGATCTCACAATATGTGGTCCTGAGACTTCAATTTCCTTCGACCAAGTGTAAAAGTTTAGTTACAATTCAAATTAGGAAACCAGAATTTTTTCCCTGATTTGCCCTGGGTGGGCGCCCAATAGAAAATGGGGCAACTGCCCAGGCATAAATATTGGCTTCTGTTAATGAAGTTTGCCGGCCGACCACCGTAACTGAGCAACCTTTAGTGTTTTGGTCATATCTTCCTATTCCGATATCCGATTGAGTTGATTCAAGATAAATTGGGAAGATAACTCAAAGGGATACAACTTTACATCAGATGCCATTTTCCAATTCGATCGTTTACTATGTCAAAAATGGGTGTCAAACTAATACTGAAAATCCGATGCATAACTTTTTGATTGGAAATTGATGTGTCGTCCTACTTTGATGATATTGCACCCCTTTGACTTCTTTCTTCATTCAACTGACTTCTAAAACTCTCAAATCTTCATCATTTGGTTCGACATAACTTTTGTATATTTTCACGTTAGTTCTTAAACTTTCATTTCCTTTCACTTTGATCCTTTTTCATCTATTTCTTCCAAATTATGTCATCTCCACCGAATTGCCACCTAAATCAAAATATGTATGTAATGAGTACATTTTGGTATTAATTAATCATACGAGCACATAAAATAAGGAGGAAAAAATATGCATTTTGCATTCCTATCAAGCATAGAACTTCGAACTAAGAGACTAGGTAGGGGTGTCAAGTAAACTAAGAGTAGCTCCCAACCTCGAGAAGTGAAGATATCAACAAGGTTAGGTGAAAGGTCAAACATGATGACCTCGCGCTCAAAGAGTACAGGACGAAGGGAAAACTGTGACCCAAATACATCTTGGGCAACAACAGAAATGAACATAGTTCGACTGTAAGAAGTCGAAGTACTAGGAGTGGAAGAAGAAGTGCGTACTCTCTTAGGAGGCATCTGAAAGAAATGAAACAAAAAAATAAAAGCTCGAGATATGACAAACAAAATCATGAAATGCATGGTATACATGCATGTATGCAAAACGAGGCAAAGAAATGACATGCAACGTGCCCTATAGTGAATGCATGACGACATGTAATGATGCTTAGACATAGGTGACGTGAAGACATGACACATGTCGTGGTGTCAAGAGCAATGACGTGATGTCATGACGTAGTGACGTGACGTCATGACGGAGGGATGTGAAGTCTCCATGTGGTGCCACAATCAATCACACCCAATGCAACTATCAAAACATGAACCCCGGCACTCCAAGCACCACATGCAACATCCAACCTTAGTCATCCAACAACCAAGTCTCGACAAAGTTCATTCCAAGCCAAAACTTAACTCCAACCTAAAACCAGTCCAAAATCGTCCAACCCAACGACCACTTTCTAAACCACAACCAACACCATCACACTCAATGCATAATCAAACCTAAGTAACTCAAGGAACCATAATCCTAAAAGAATACTCAAAGCAAATTCCAAATAAAGCCAAAATGGTCCATAATCCCTTTTTTAATAAGTAATAGTTGAGATGTCGATAAATGGTTTAATGTTAATATTTCTTACTCCAATTAATTTAATTGAGAAAAAATACTTCACATTTCTGTTTAGGGAAAGCAATTAGGCATCATGCCAACATCATAGTTCTCCCAATTATAACGTTGCTTATGGTCAAAACCTAATTTTTCTATCAAATTATTTCGATGATGCAATATATGTAAAATTGATCTGCTGCAATGTATTGAAATGGAAAATAAAAAATATTGATAATAAATGAGTAGTTTGAATCTTTATCTCCAGTGGATGATATTTTATAACGTAAGATTAGGAAGAGAAACTAAGAAACAAAAAATAATGTTCAAATATATCATTATCTAAATCCTCAAAAAAGGTAATTCAAACCATAAATTTATGACACGCCCGAAGTGTGATAATATTCGATTCTAATATAAAATCTTCAAACGAAAATGGAGTAATTAGCAAAGATGATCCCATAAAGGAGGCATATTTTCTTGATAAGTATTTAGACATAACAGAGTATAGAACCTCAGAAGAGGTTTAGGTACCTGATACGTTGAAATTGAGATATATCAATAAGTTATGTCGTCATGAGAAAAGAAATAGGACAAAAAATAAAAAATTGTTGACATTATTTCTTTACATGATGTACTGTTTCATATTATGAATTGGAGGATATCGAAATAAATTCATTGAAGTATATCGATTAAAGAAATGATTGGCCAAATAAATGGATAAATCTCGGCAAATTGAATTTATTAGGGAAATTTGATCTACTGAACACCCAAATATGTATATTTATGTGAAATCAAAATAAAAAAAGTAAGTCATAATATGAAATATACGAATATTTACATAATGAATTTCACGAAGACTTAAGTAATTAGATAAATTATTGTGTAGTGGATGTCATCACGAATATCTATTTATTAGTATGATAATGTATTAAATTTGATATGCATATAATAAATTTAATACAAATGAAGCATAATTCAAGAGATATTATCATGAGGAGTGAGTGAAAACCTGTTGTACTCTTTTTCCCTATCCAATGTTTTTTTCTCATTGGATTTTTTTTTGGAAGGTTTTTAATGAGGCAAGTTTTATAGCGTACTCAAAAAAATAATGTACTCATTTTCTTTTATTAAGATTTTTTTCCACTAAATTTTTCCTAATAAGATTTTAACGAGACATATTCTTTGTATAATGAATGTGTATAACATAAAAGACATTTACCCTCAAAATAATACTCTGATATGTACGAAACACACAAAGAGATCAACAAGAGCTATTTTTCGAATTATCATGTTACTACAGTAATCAAAGGTTGATAAATATCTCGTATGAAGACGGTGTTATTTGAAGACTATAACATAACAACACGAAACAGATTGAAATATTGAAGACAATACTAAGACTATGTTATTTCGAATCATCATGTTAGTACAGCTATTTGGAGGTTGATAAATGTCTCGTATGAAAGCAATGTTTCACCAGAATTGCAATATTGAAGGCATTAAAGTACATGATAAGGATGAATTGATACAATGATTGAAATCAGGGGAGCAACTGTACTCTTTTTCCTTCAATCAAATTTTATCCCACTATATTTTCTTCACAAGGTTTTAACGATGTAAAAATTTTGTAATGTATCATTTAAGGAGAAGTGTTGTAAATGATAAGTTTATTAGTGAATGACAATTGTACCCGTATAGCCCAAGAAATTATTACCATTGTATCCCTAATCATTTCCTATAAAATATAGAGTTTTAATTCTCATTATAATATACACAAATCTATTGACTTTTGTAGTTTTCTCTTTAGTTTTTAACAAGACAATATTTTATAAGTACGTTGATTGAATTTTTATTTAAGTAAACCTTGTTTGACAATCATTTTTAACTTTTTTTCTCAAATTCATTTTCAATCATACATTATCACAGTAAAATATTTTACATGTAAATTCAAATTTTTTCTTACTGTTCAATGACTCATTCTCCAAAAAAATCAATATTTTAAAACTCATTTCTCCCAAAAAAATACTCCATGTAATGGCGGTCAAACACGGGATAAATAGTTCATTCGAACTTTGGGCATGTATTTCCAATGAAATCAACTGTTTGCGATTGATGTGTATGTTAAACTATAAAATGATTCTAGACGAGGTAAGACAAGTAGAAAACCCTTGAATTCTGTACTGGCATATTACATTTTTTATACTGTAAACATTCTCCTGTTTACAGAAAACACGTTCATCCTTTTCCAATTATTATAATATTTCTCTCTCTCTCTCTCTCTCTCACCCACACACATTAATTCTATCATAGTCTAGAGAGAAGAGAGATTCTTGAGACTCAAGCAGAAGGGAAAAAAGGCTGAAATGGGTAGAGCTCCTTGTTGTGACAAAGCTAATGTGAAGAAAGGGCCATGGTCACCTGAAGAAGATACCGAGCTCAAGTCATATATCGAGAAACATGGCACAGGGGGTAACTGGATTGCTTTGCCCCAAAAAATTGGTAAAGAAAGAAAACCCCACAAAATTTTGCCTTCAATTATTTAGCACTCATTTGATCGAAGTATATATATTCTTTTGTATTAGGCCTAAAGAGATGTGGAAAAAGCTGTCGGCTTCGATGGCTAAACTATCTTCGACCAAACATCAAACATGGAGGATTTACTGAAGAAGAAGATAACATAATTTGCAGCTTCTATATGAGTATTGGAAGCAGGTAAAATGATGTAATCTAGCTTGAATTTCACTCTCTATGTCAATAAATGACGAACTTTACCCTTAAATTGTATGAACAGATGGTCTATTATTGCTGCACAACTGCCTGGAAGAACTGATAATGATATAAAGAATTACTGGAATACGAGGCTGAAAAGGAAACTACTGGGGAAGCAGCGCAAAGAAAAACAGGTTCGTAGAGGAAACTTGCAAGTGCGAGAAACAGTTAAAGGAAAGGAAAGCTCTACCGTTTCAGACACAATAAAAAACCAGAATCCTTACTGGCCAGCGTTACCTTTGCTGCCACCTATACCCCAGTCAAAGGATGAGCCAAGCTTTAGTGATCACGCATCTATCAGAAAGCTGCTGATAAAGCTCGGAGGGAGATTTTCTAGTGATGATCAGATTGGTAGAGAAATGAAGTATCAGTACCCTGACGGCAATTCACTGGTGCAAACAGTACACCAACAATCTGTTGATGATTTGGTACCTGTTAATCCAATGGAAGTAATTAAGACAAGTCCTTCTCTAGCACTGCCAGAAGCTCAATATACTATTGACGAGGTGAATATGTCTATATTTCCAGGACAAAGCAATTTGCTTAGTGAACTTGATCATGTTATTTATAACAATCCTGAAAAATTACGAGGGCTCGAGTTCTTATATGCTGATATGATGGATAGTAAGAGGAGTGGGACTAGTACTGGCGCTGAACGCACGGATTGGGATGAGATGAATTCTCTGGTTTTTCCATCTGATGCTTCCAATTACGAAGGTATTTTACAAGGATTAGTTCTAGAGAAGCTCGCGATTGATGATCAGAGGGATTATCCCGGGGCATGATGATCTCATTGTACATTTGAAGATGTATATTTGTAGCATGGGAGTGTTGGATTCTTGTTACCAAAAACCCTAATAAGCCTATTGTGTATGATGTTCGTTTCACCTATTGTTTGATCAATATTGAGTGCTATAAATATGTTGTCTGTTGTAAACCAGTATATCATTAATTTCTAATGTATGACAATATGTTAATCTGTCTATGATAGAACGAGTTTAAGTGTTTGTTGATTTTAGGTGCTTATAATCTTGAATCTCGAATCTACACTAGTCAATGCAGATTTGGTTTGTCGACTGATCAAGCTTTTCGAGTGCAAGCTTGCACTGAATTGGTGTTTATGCAGACTAATACGCCATTATTGCCGAATTCATTCCTTGATAAGAGGTATGTATTCTGACTGATATTGCTTTGATGTTCATAAAATAGGTGAACCCGGGTTCCTCGAATCCAAGGCAATTCTGAGTCTAGTACAATAGATTCCTCGACATTTTGGACACAACTTTCTGGGCTTTAGCAATTAAAAGTATTTTCCTGAGATTCTACATTATTTTATTGCCATTAACATACCTAAAACATTACACGTATATAAGCAGATGTGATTATAGTCAATCGACCTGTAGATTTTAGGTGGCATCTGAACCCCACTCGACAAATTATAGACACATTTTAGCCCTTGCTTCCCCCCCATTATATCTCATTACATTACATTAAATTTTTCTCTCTCTTCATCTCAACCATACATTCATCAAATAAAATAATAATACACACAAATCTAAAACTTTTCAACCACACATCTCCCATCAATCACTATTCTAAAAATTTTTAACCCCCTAAAAATCTACAATAATGGGGGCCAAACAGGGCTTAATGTTGAACAGACGAGTCTTCTAAGTGAAATGATGAAACTTGAATTAAAATAGTCTAGAAAATTAATAGCAGTTAGTTTAAATTTTAAATCTTATATATGTAATGAATTTGTATACGTATTAAGCTTTCAGAAAAATGAAAATGATCGCACATGAGGGGAGCAGGTTGTAGAGGCAAGATTTAAATGATACACGTGTAACTCTGACTAACGGCTTAAAAGTTTGGATCAAGTCCCTCAAATTTTGTTCCACGCTGCTAAGTTGAAAAATGTTCGTTGGGGGGGGGGGGGGGGGGGTGGTATCCATATAAATTTCTTGCAAATTGAATATTATGCAATCTTTCCTCTTTAGACCTTCAGTCCACTATCTTACTGCAAGATAAATTTAACATATTGTCAGAAATAGCAAATGGAAACCTACACAATGCTGTATATTAACCTTTACTAGTATATATTTCTTTTTCCGGATGACACAGTTGAGGTTTAGACTATTAGTAGGGTTAGCTATAATTAGGTAGTGTATGTATTACAAGTGATGAATCTTTTGCATAGAGGTTGATTTTGTGATGCACTCACATGAACGGTCTGGTCCTAAAATTCAAGAAGGCTATGACACTAACTAAAATCAGTATTTACAAACAGTTGAACTCACCTTTCTTCACATTTTTAAGATAAGAAAAAGTTAGCTTGTTTAAATGAAACCCTAGACACACTAATATTTTTGGTAATGTTAAATCCCTAAGAAACAGTAAGATATAGTAGTACACTTTGCACTTGAATTAGGAGAAGCTCGATGCCAGGTATGCTAGGAATTCTTGTTTTCTACCAATGTAAAGTATCAATAGCTTCATCAAGAACCTCTTATTATTTGTTGGTATGGTTAATCTTAGACTGCACATTTTGGTGGCATCCAAACTCGTAAGTTCATTCAATTCAAACCTAATATATGTGAAGTTGTGCTATATTAAGAAGAATTTTCATTGGACTTTTAGTGTGATAATGAAGATAAGAAGTCTTAAATTGTTTCTTGCTGCATTCATAGACTATAATCATCAAATATTCGACAACCATACAAAAAGAATGGAACTACTTTTCTCCTGACCGATATTATGAAATTTTGTTAGTTTTCAATCCTCAAAACATGCATGCCAGTAAGAAGGATTTTTGTTCTTCCTAGAAATTGTTGTCTCTGCGTTAATAAATACAAAGTCCTAACAAACAAGGTACTATAATGTGACTCTCTTTTATTGCAATAATATTTTTATCCATATTTATTCGTTTAGGTTCTGTTTGTTAGCAAATACATAGTGGAGTTTGAAAATCTAAGCATTTGTGCTGTTCCGTACTAAATTATGAAATTTGTTGCAATTTGGAGTTGAATGGTTACAAATTGCTAAAGGCAGGTTAAGCAGCAGGTTGTTCATGATAAAAAAACAATAAATGTACATAAAAGTGCTCACTTTTCTGCTCTTCTATTTATAGATATTAGAGCCCACATGGTCATATGAGTCATTGAACCCATGTAGAAGTTCAAATGAACCACCATCTTACAACATGTTAAGGGTAAATTCTCTTACATATAAAAATTTGGACTGCTTTTCTTTGTGAACAGCGGATTAATGTATTGGTTAATAATAATGATTTAGAATGTATGAATATAGTTTAGAATAGATAGTGCTTTGTCATGACTTTTGCTCCATAAACATTGTTTGGTAAGGCAAGGTCAAGGTTTGTTACAATCAGTTGACATAATTGTGAAAATGATTGGTATAAGAACCATGAATCTAAAGTCTCCAACACAACATTTTATTTATGCATAACAGTCAATTTATTGTGACTGATAATATATACAGCTAGCTAGTTAGGTAGAAGTTTCTATTCTCATCATAAACCATGGGCGTAAAAGTGATTCATGTATTGAAAAACGTAGAAGTTTCTATTCTCATCATAAAGGTTATCTTTAGCTGTAGATGTTTGATCTTGATAAATATTATGCTTTGATGGAGAAGCAAAGGCTTAGGGACATTTGATAATTTTTTTGGATTTATATAGAATTGTTTTAACATGTACATAGTACATAATATGTTGTCACTTCCAATATTTTTTTGCCCTCCCGCGTGGATCCTAGTTTTATTTTTCTTCTTGGGTTACATTTTTCTAATAGAATATTGTTAAAAAGGCTACATATTCCTAATATTGTCAAACATTTTTGTTCAGTTGTGTTCCCTTACAATCTAATACTATGTACCAAACGTGCATTTGAAAAAGTTGTCACTTCCAATATTTTTCTTGGATTCCATGATGTGAACACATATTCCTAATGTTGTCAAACAATTTTTTTTTCTTTTATGTCTAATATTGACAAACTTGTACTAACAAAGCATTGAGATTAGAATCCCACTCTTTTGTATAACTCTACAAATCTTGATTCCATGATGTGATGATCAAGTCATGTACGATGAATTAGTGTCTCTTTTTGAAAGTCATGGCTTCTATAATCATGATATGACCTTACTTAACAACATATCAAATTTCATTTACTAATTATTGATGAATACAGCTTTCAAAAATATGAGTCATATCTTCTACACACAAACAATTTATGTGTATGGTTCATACTTCAACGGCTTCTAGTCCTACCACTAACCTAACAATCTTTCATTTGCGCCAAAAAATAGATTTGATATTTCTCTCATCCGCATCCTTTTTTAAGGTTCTTGAGATTCCGTTGTAAAATGTTCAAATCTATGAATGGAAATTGTTCAAATGAAAATAAAATCTTTCTCTTCGTCTTATAGGTTTCTCAGTATAAATTTCCCCGCTCTTAGATTAGGGTCAATATGCGAAATGAATTTCACTCTTACATTTGTAAAATGATCTCGAAAGTTACTATAAAAACTATTACTTTCTTACCTACATTGTACCTATACAATATATGTGAGTGTAAAAATACTGGTCATTAAAATTTGTCTTAATTTAAGGTAGTTTCCACTTTTTAAGAGAAGTAAGCCGAAGAAAGGTAGCTAAGGAACTTAGTTCGGGTGGGTCAAAGCCTTGGATTTACAATTTTTTAGTCTAGTTTTGACTGATTTATACACTTTGTCGTCAAGCCATTGAATATAATTTTCTTACAATTAAGTCATTTAAGGTATGTGTGGTACACTTATAAAAGTAAGATATATAAAATTAGGGTGAATAAGTATTTTTTATTTTTAAAAAATATTTTTTTGCTAGCTGAAAAATAAAGTAATTTTCTGTTCAGAAATATGTTTGAATGACTTTTTTGTTTAGAAACATGTTTAGATAACTTCTTGTTCATAAAACACTTATTTTTTTTAAAATTTAGCTTAAAAAGGTAAATTTACTTTAAAGTAACTTTTCGTAGACTTTGAAATAACTTATTTGCTCTAAATTTTAAGTAAGAAGTTTCATTTTTTTTAAAACTAAGCTTAAAAATGGAAAATAATTTTAGAATTCTCGTGTTTGGAAAACTTATTTTTCTCTCTTAAATAAAAAGATATTATTTTGAAAGAAGTTCTCACCTTAGTAAATTGAGAACTTATTTATTGTAACTTGATTAGTAAATATTATTTTAAACCTCACTTACTTATATATAAGTAAATTTACATGTTTCGTGATTATAAGCCCAACTTAGTTTTTCTCTATTATTGATCACATCAAATATGAAAATAAACAATTGGGGTGAATTATTACTAAATTAATTTAATTCATCTAGTCTTAATGCATACTTTGTTTTTAAAACGATCTTTGTTTTTGTTGAGACAACTGAGTCAAGAACAAAACATGATTATATTCTTCTATTTGAAAAGAGTATAAATTAAAATTTTTAAATAACAGTTGTATGCTAAAACAAAGGTACATGCATTTCAATGCACATTCTGAATTCCGTATAAAGTTTTCCAGGTCAGAGAATAGGACAGAATTTTCATATGCTAAGTGAGTGTCACTATCATTAAATAAACAAATTCGTTTGGGTTATTATAAAATCCAAACAAGTCGTCGTGTGGCTGTTGTCAATAGCCTTAGTTATGGACAAATTTTGGTTGATGGATAGTGCCAATCTTGAAATTTTGGTTCCTTGTTTAGGACTTTTTCTGTTTCGATGTTTCTTGTTAA